ATTTATTATAAATATTAAATATAATTTATACATTTAAAAGTGTCTATTTTATATAAATTTCAAATATAATTTATATATTCAAATATAATATTTATTTATATATTTTATTTATCATGAAATTTAGTATATATAATAAACATATATTAAAATACTAATAAATTAATAATAACAAAAGAAAGAAGTACTTTAGGATTTTATTGTTATAAATTAAAATTTTTATTATTTTCTAAAAAGGGAAATATCATGTTTTTTAAGTTATACTTTACACCCTTACGAAATAATAAAATACATTATATTTCGTCTTTTTAAAATAATTAAATAATTATTTTATCTCAAATCTATTAATAAATTAAAATTTTAAAATGTATAAAATTTTAAAAACAAATTGACTATTCATGTTATTGGATCTAAGAAGGTATTGGAAAACTTCAAAATAATCGTGTTCAAGTTAAAGGAAAAAAAAAAGTTTAGCTGAGTTCAAGTTAGGCTTTGAGACTAGTCCTGTTCTCTATTCTTTAATAAAATGAGGATAAAAATAGTTTGGTAATATTTTGCTCAAATGAGTAACAAAGACATTGAGAAATAGTGCAGAATAAATTATTCCCCCTGTTATGTATGAGACACAAGTGTTTTCACATCAAATAGATTGATAAATCAATGCTTTCGAAGTTTTTGAATGCTTCAATTATAGACTTTTTTATTATAATATTAAAAAATAATAAATTTACTAAAGTATTATATCTTAAAATATATTTATCAAAATGTTATATTTAGTATTTATACCGAAAAATTATTATTTATAAGTATATTTTTCATGTATGTTTTTTTTATTTATATTTTTGCATTGAGGAATTAGTTGGAAATCGATTCTTCAAGTAGGATTTTTTTTAAATTTAGTTTTTTTGTAATATTATTATTTATATATATATATATATATATTTTTTATTATTTTTTTTTGTTTACTAGCTTAAAATTTAGTTACAATTAGTTAATGTATAAGTAATTTTATTTTAACAGTATATGTGTTTGATAATTTATTAAAAGAAAATAAAAATATAATATAATAAACATCAATACCTTAATATAATATAATTAGTAAAATTAAGATTTAAATAATATATAAAATTATTATAGTTAACTTTAAATCAAAATAATATAAATAATGAAATGAAAGGTATAACAATAAAATATTTTACAAAAATTATTATTTTTAGTGGAAAGTTCTTACACTATAGGAAGGATTTGCTATTCTAAGAATAAATTTATTTAAATGTATTCCACTAAATAACTTATATTTTACATCACATTTTAATAATCAATCAGTTGAATAAAAAAATTTATTTTATACGTTGATTTTAATTAATGAAACATGATATCAAATAGTTTTAAAATTTTAATATATGTATTAAGAATTTTTAATTTAATGATTAAATTGTTAAAATTTGATGTAAAGAATGATTTAACAAGTGAAATAAACTCGAACGTAAGTTCATTTACTTTAATCAATAAACTATATTTTGCATCAAATTTTAATAATTTAACCATTTAATTAAAATTCATCCGTGAATTTGAATTAATAAACTAGAATATAAATTATTTTTTAAGTAAATAAAATAGAATTATTTTATTAAAAGTATTTCTTACACTCATTATATTTTTAATGTATTAGCTTTTAATAAGATATATTTGAACTGCTTAAAATCAATCACGAAGATTAATTTTAACATCATTATAAAAATATTTTTTTTATTACGAATGTGGATAATCGATACATTAATAATGTTAAATATTATATTTTAAAATAAAAGGTTAAATGTTTAATTCTTAAAAATTTTGGTAACAGAAAAATTAAAGGGGAAACAACGCATGTGGTGTGGTGATATAAAAAGGAGTACTAAGGGAGGCTTGTACGCGCTGTTTCACTTTCGGGAGGAGAAAGCTCATCTCCTCTTGTTCCCTCACAAATCCAATTCGCTGCGATCGAATTTGGATTTCGATCTTCTTTTCTATCTGTAATATTCACTTATCACCTCATCGATCCGTTTTCCGATTTCGATCCACCAATAATAACACATTCATTATTCATTTTCCCCAAACGATAGAATAAAGGAGAGGAATAGATAAACAATATATTAGCGCTGTTGTTGATCGATTTGCGAATCCGAGAGTAAAACCCTGCGCTGTGATTGTTTATTTTTTATTTTTTATTTTTTTGTCAGATGGCATTTCAAGAAAAGCAAAACAGGTTTAAGAAGCAGCAAGAGAAGAGTGCATCTGCTTCGCACAATGGAAGAAATCCAGGTTCTATTAAATTCTCTACCGATACCGAAAGACTTCAACATGTTAATAGCATACGCAAAGCCCCCGTTGGGGCTCAGATGAAGCGTGTTATTGATCTCTTATATGAGGTATCATAAGTCCTTGCGTTATACTTTTCACGTGGGTTTTTTTTTGTGCCTGATGATCATTCACTACGGAATCAGAATCTGTTTCTGTAATGCTATTTACCGAAAATAAAAGCTTTTAAAATCCCATATGAACTTGTATCCACAGATACTCTTGGTGTCATTGATGCTTAGTGTTTCTGATTGTGTTTGCTTTACAGAATCGACAGGCTTTAACCATAGAGCAAATAAATGAGGCATGTTACGTGGACATGAGAGCTAACAAGGATGTTTTTGAGAGTATGAGGAAAAACCCAAAAATAAAATTTGATGGGGAAAAATTCTCTTACAAGGTAACTTTTAGTGGTGCATGTGTGTACACCTTCGGGGGTTCAGTTCTCAGTTTGATGCCCCTGTTTTGGTTTTTGACATTTGGCATTGCTTTTGGTTTATAGTCGAAGCATGACATTAGGGACAGAAGCCAGCTGCTCTTCTTGGTACGTAAGTTTCCAGAGGGCATTGCTGTCGTTGACCTAAAAGATTCTTACCCAACTGTCATGGAAGACTTGCAGGTAAATTATTTTTATTAGTTAATAGTTTTGCATGAAGATTTCTTGCCATCCATTTTTCAGTAATATTGGTGGAATTTTCATTATGGGTATATTTTCCACTCCCAGATTGCCTTGGTATCGTTGAGCAACTAATAATATCTCTCAGTTTTGATTTCTTTCTTTCTGTGCATGATGTATTTTTGGATGGATCAAGCGCATTAAAATCACTCGTCACTATACCTGTGAAAGAAACTCGACTAAGAAAATGCCATTGCAATACCATGGAGGGTTATAAGAATCAAATGTTTCAGTGGGCAAATTAAAATTGTATAATAAATATTAGTTTAAAACCTAGTTATGTCTACCTCTGGTCTAGCTCATTCAAGAAAAGGCACAGTTCCAAGTGTATATTGCACCTTTTTCTGCTTTCAAGCACATTCTAAATAGTTTATCTCATTTTTTTTATTTTAAATTTTATACTTGAAGTTTTGGGTTTTTCATGCGATGGAACTCTATGTAGTCAAGTTCATATTATCATTATTATGGATGTGATAAAAATGCTAAGTTATTTAAAGTAAAGTAACGCTCTCTCTAATTTACACAAATCTTAACATAGTGAGTTTTACGCACCACCTTAAATCTACATGAAGTTATGCTAGGTTAATATAACTTGAAGAGATCAAAGTAGGTTCAAAGGTTGTGTCTACAGTCTACTTTTCATGCTTCATTTTTTTGCATCTTAATGACTTAATTTGAAAGTAATGGCACAGTTGAAAGATCAAGTGTTCAAATATAGTTCACAGTCACACTATTACTTATGACAGCTATAGGTGTGTGAATAAAAAGAAGGGAAGAAGGTCAAAATTACTTTATACTAGAATCCAGGTTTTGGAATCAATAACTTAAAAACTGGTTCATATCAATTAAGTGTATTTGCCAAACTGGAAAGTTGGTTTGGGGAAACCAAATGTGATTTGGAAGTATTCACTAAAACTGCACACTAATGAATTTTTATAATCCATTTTGCCCCTTGCTCTCTACCTAAGGTTGCTAGTATTTCAAAATGCCGGTACTGAGGAAATGTATTTTTCAAAGAAAAAAACAAAAATTGTCAGTACAAAATCTGCTGAATATGGTTCAACCTTGATAATACTTTCTCTGTTTCTCATATATGGGACTTTGAGTTCTTTGAAATAACTTAGGCAGAAAGCTGAAGGACTTCAGTTTTATACCAAGTATTTACGTGTAGAGTGGCATTCCGTTTTACAGAAAAATGCTATCAAAATTTACTTCTTTTTAGTCTCCTTCACTTGCCCTACTGTGTTTTTTTTTTTTTTCCTTTTGAAAAACCATCTGCCTGTCTCTATCTCTGCTTCTTAGAGGTTTACATGATACTGAGATATTAATACTAGAGTGAAACTGTTTTTTAGTATGCTTTTATTGAAATATGCAAAGAATAGAATTATAGAACTAAGACTACTTAACAAATTTGATCTGCAACATTTATACTCAGATGACTTCTTGTGGTGAGAGGTGATTCATTATAGATAGTGAAGTAGCTGAGTTTAGTTAATGTTTTTTCATGGAATAAAACCTTATAAAGTTGTTGGTTTCTAGGCTTTGAAAGCTGCAAGGGAGATTTGGCTGTTGTCCAACTTTGATTCACAGGAGGACATTGCGTACCCGAATGACCCTAAAGTGCCCATTAAGGTGGATGATGACCTGAAACAGCTTTTTCGGGGTATTGAATTGCCTCGTGATATGATTGACATAGAGAGGGATCTACAGAAAAATGGAATGAAGCCTGCTACTAACACTGCAAAGAGAAGAAGTGCAGCAGAAATGCAAGGCATATCATCCAAGCCTAAGCCTAAGAAGAAGAAGAATGAAATCACTAAGAGGACCAAGCTGACTAATGCCCATCTTCCAGAGCTTTTTCAGAACCTGAACAATTCCTGACTTAAGAAACTCATGGCAAGTGATGAAGGAATTCATATAGCTCATTTATTGACATAAAAAAGAACACGTGGTTAGAAAAATGTTGTTCATATGGACATGGCCTTTTTATTGTATTAGCACACTGCTTCTGGTTTGGATGGTACCCAATTAGTTGGAGGGAAACGATGGTTATTGCAATTCATGGCATTCCTGCTTCT